ACATTTTATTGATTAAATAGACTGCAGTTTCAAAAGCAAAATTCCAAAATTTTATGGAACAGAGGGACACAGGCTAGGAGAGCTAAACCCGTTTCAACTATGTGTCTATGCTTACGTTCGACACGACCGTTTTGTTCATGAGTGTAGGCACAATACTGTCTATGAACAATTCCTAATTGAACAAAGGAATGATGCAACTTTTTGTATTCAGCTCCTAGGTCAAAATGAATGGATTTTATTTTTCTATTGAAGTAGCGTTCAACCATTATACGAAACTTATCAAAGATGACATATAAATTTGATTTTAATTTCATGGGAAAATACCAAGTGTAGCGGGTATAATCATCCACGAAAATAACAAAGTAACGATAACCATCAATAGATAATAAAGGAGCTGGACCCCAAATATCTATATATATTAAATCAAGAACACTAGTGCTGGATGACTCAATACGTGACAGTGGAAATCGAGCAGATTTACCCAATTGACATGCTGAGCATAAACTGGAATTACAACGAATAGTATGACTAGAGCCACTAATCGAACAAGACCGAAGAATTTGAGTAAGGACACGTTGATGAGGATGACTCAAACAATCATGCCAAATCGAAGTGGTAGCACGAGCAGAGAGAAACGCAGAAGGAGACAAATTTGGAGCTGGTAAAGTGTATAGGCCACCCAAACTACTGCCCGTAGGAGAATTTCCTTGGTGGTAATATCTTTCACAAGAAAAAAAGAAAGATGAAACTCAAAGAACACATTATTATCTGTAGCAAAACGTTGAACAGATAATAAAGAGGTAGACAGACCAGGAACATGTAATATATCAGACATCGTAAAAGACCTAGAAGGGGTATTAAGAGTAGCATGACCAACATGACTAATAGATAGACCCATACCATCACCGACACGTGAAGTGTCATTACCAGTGTACTTCTCCGAGGTAGAAAGGGCAGCTATGTTTGGAGTTGCATGATTTGTGGCTCTAGTGTCCGGAACCCAAGTATGAGAATTTGACGAGGTTTTAGTTCTCAAACCATCCTGAAACACCAAATTAGCCTAAGAACCCGGAGCCCCTGAATAACGCCGAAAACAGTTAGCTCCCGTGTGACCGAATCTTTTACAAATTTGACATGGATCATCATAGCGCCAAAACCAATTAGCTCCTGTGTGACCAAAACGTTACAAATTTGACATGGATCATCATAGCGCCAAAAACAATTAGTTCCCGTGTGACCAAAACGTTTACAAATTTGACACAGATCATCATAGCGCTAAAAACAATTGGCTTCCGTGTGGCCGAAACCTTTACAAATTTGACACGGATCATCAAAGCCATGTCGCTGACTGGATCGCTTCTCATACGGTGTATCTTGATTTGATGTCAGGCTACTGCTTAATGCTCATTTAGGCAGTGATTGTATGCAAAGAAAGATTACAACTTTGGCGAAGTATCCCTTGATTGATGTGTCGAACCTTCACAGTATGCAAGACCGACGATTGGAATTGAAGCTCTTAGCTGCTGATATCACTTTTTTTTTCTGTAGTACTCAACGTGACTATGTGGAATTATAAATACTATTTGGAAGGTATGAAGTTTGACACGGGCATACCTTCAAACTGGTTGGGAGCTATTGCTGTTTCCCTGATGAGCCCATGGCAGGGCGAAACCAGATTGGCTCGTGTGTGGATAAAGGCTGAATTCGCGGGGTATGAGCGGCCCCAGGATGCCGCACGGGTGCTGTGCGCTGCGCCGGACTCTATGCCCGTGTCAAAGTGGTATCAGAGCAGGACGTACTTATATTGTTGGGCGTTATGGTGGGATCCTCATGGGGTGAGGATTATGCGAGCACGGTGGCGTGAGGCATGCGCACGTGCTGATGACGGCTCCACTCTGTAGGTTTTTAGTCATAAGTTTACATGGGGAAGACATTCCTTCCTCCTGGATTCCGCTTTCATCCAACTGATGTTGAAATTATAGTGTATTATCTCAAGAGGAAGATCATGGGAAAGAAACTTCATTTTTTTGAAGCTATATCAGAGATCAACATTTATAGGTTTTCCCCCCTGGGATCTTCCAGATAAAGCCTGTTTGAAAAGTAAAGATCTTGAGTGGTATTTCTTCTGCCCGAGGGAGAGGAAGTGTAATAGTGGTGCTAGAATGACTCGAGCAACTGAAACTAGGCACTGGAAAACTACCGGAAGGGATAGACCTGTAATTTACAATGAGCGGATTGTTAGGATGGTTAAAACCTTGATTTTCCATGAAGGCCATGCACCAAAGGGGAAAAGAACTGATTGGGTTATACATGAATACAGAATTGAGGACTTACATATGGAAGAAGAAACTCTTTAGGATTCATATGTGCTATGTAAAGTATTCAAGAAGAGTGGACCAGGCCCAAAAAATGGTGCACAATATGGTGCATTATTCAATGAGGAAAACTGGGAAGATGATTTTGAAAATTGTGATAAACATATTCCATTTGCCATTCCTCCGCGTCCTATTAACCAAAATTGCTCGTCTGTCACCGACATGATTGACCCAGGGTGTTCATCTCATCAGCCCTCAGCTGAACCAGATCCATTTGTCGTTCCTCCTACCAAACTTGAAGATCATATTAACCAAAATTGCACATCTGTGGCTGACATGACTGACCAACAGAGTGGAGTCGTCATCAGCACGTGCGCATGCCTCACGCCACCGTGCTCGCATAATCCTTACCCCCTGAGGATCCCACCATAACGCGCAGCAATATAAGTACGTCCTGCTCTGATACCACTTTGACACAGGCATAGAGTCCGACGAAGTGCACAGCGCCCGTGCGGCATCCCGGGGCCCCTCATACCCCGCGATTCAACCTTTACCCACACACGAGCCAATGGGATTTTTATGAATCACAAAATCCTAGCTAACTGATACCAGATGAGAACTAAATGAATTGTGTTGAATGAACTATTAAACAATTGTATAGATTGGGGGAATATATACAAGAGAAATCATAGGGAGACTATGATAGGGAGTCATAATGTGACTCAAATACATAGAGTTCTAATACTAGTCCTAATATTCCTCAACTTAAATATTATTCCCTCCATATTCGATCCTATTTCTTTTTTCTTTTTTCCTTATAATAATTTGTTAAAGTTTCTTCCTCATTTATTTCTTGAGGTACAAATGAAGTATATTGTGAGAATGGTGAATCTCGAGAATCTACCTGCATATTATTTTGTGTAAATTCGTCATTAACAAAATTAAATTGTAGTTGATCAATTCTATACTAATATTTTTTAAGGAAAGTTATGAAATATACCATAAAATTAAATTTGAAAAGAATAGATGAAATTTTTGTTTGGTTCAGACATAGAAAAAAGTTGAAAATTTTGGAATTGGAGGGTTGGATTTAACTATTTATATTTATGAGAAAAAAGTCTACCAAAATTCTAATATAAAACTTTTAAAGAGTTTTTAAAAATCTGAATCAAATATTGACAAACTTTTATAGTCTTTAATCTATAAAATTTTATAAAAGTTTTGGTTAAATACACCCCTAAGGTTTTAGAATTTTATACATTATGAGTTTAGAATATTGTGATCAGAGTATCATGTAGATTTTTTATTTTTTGTTTTTGTTGTTTTGTAAATCCTACAAAAGATATTACAGGATAGTCTCATTGCCTCGTTGACAAAAGCTCTAAAATTGGAGTTTATGAGACAAAAGATTTGGAGTGGAGTGTTTGGTTTAATCATGGGAATCAAATCCTTAAAATAATAATAAGAAGAATAATAATAATTGATAGCCTATCCTTAACCCAATTCCATTACTCTATTATTTTCAAAACTCATTTTAATTATTAACTGTGAAGTATTTAATTCTAATTCTAATGTAAAAATGCCTTTATATCTAAATTCAATTTTAATTTATATATATACACATACATACAAAATCAAAGTTGTTATGGAGCCAACGGTCACCCTACAACTCCAACTCCTCAATTCCTTCGATCCAGATATTTTCTCCCCTAAAATTTATCTTAAATATAATACTATCTACTGAACAAATGAATTAAGTCTGTACAAAGATCTTTTAAAACTCATTTGGTTGGAGACTTGGAAATACTCGTGAATATTATTCCCGTCACATGCCCATTTCTATTATTAATAGAAAATAAAATATTTAAAAAAAAAAAAACAGTGGACCACCACTGCGACCAATAATATATTGCCACGAGAAAGAGAAAGAAGCAAAACTTGTTAATATATTGGCAAAATGTTAAAGAGAAAGCTTCAAATGAAACAGGAATGTCAAATACATCATGCATTTTCAGATTGAAAGGACATTACCATGCCTGACCCTTTAGGAAAAATATTACATCAGCTCTCACTTTTTACTCTCAATATTTATTCCTTTTATCACAAATCTTTAATGTAAACATTTTTCTGAGATTCGCACAGGACCGATTTTTGGCTCGTGCATAATACCCAACAGCACAAGGCCTCAATTTTAAAAGACCCAATATCTATTTTTAACCTAGCTACTTAAGAAATAAAAAAATACAATTAAGCTTACATTCCTTTACGCCTATTTTTATCAATTTTAAAACTCATCAATTTTTTTCACAAATCACAAACCACCATTAAAGATGGCAAGATTCTTCCTTCCTCTAATTTTACAACTTTCCCCTAAATTTCTTGGATTACCAAAGTTGCAATTCAGTTTTAATTCACTTCTCTCTCCTAATTAATTGAGCATGATTATACTTTTTGGTATGACTTCATTTATTTACAAAAATCCAAAACACGATCCTGAACCACATGATGAAAATATCACATCCTTAATTGACACATCATGAAGTAAAAAAGTGAGTAAAATTTGGAAGTACATATACTAGAACTCGTAATATAGTACAAAGACTGCAAAGGCTTCCCGCTCCCCTCTTACATGTGAAGAAAGAGGCATGCTTATGCATATGAACAGCAACACTCAACAATTTCAAATTTACACAATACACAATAGGATGTAAGCTTTGCATCTATTAATCAAATTGTAATTGTAATTCCATGACATACATGATGCTCGTTGCATTTTAAGCGATTTAGCTATGGATCATGGACAAGGAAAGGCGTTATCCTTCTTTCCAAGAATACAAATCATATCGACCATACCCCATGTGATGACTAGAGGAGGCCGGGGATTGTCCACCAACACAAAGTCGGTAACTTGGCATGCCAATCCCGACTTGCTCTACTCACGATGGATGGAGCTTCTAACATCTATACACCATTCATTGTTGTTTCAGCATGCGTAGTTATGTTCCCGTTCTCTACTATCTTTCCATTGATTTGGGATCTTGGCCTCTGGCAAACGGGACAGAGACATCTCGACGACATTAGCAAGAAGAAACCAACCATTGGATTATGATGTTGTAAATCTATTATACCTTCTCCGCAGGATCTCCAGAATTCCCATTCAAAAGTTTGTGGTTCTCCTCTTTAGTCTTGTTGTCCTTTGTCAATGGTAATGCCACCGGTCCCGAGCGGTCAGGCAATTCTGGTTTGAGAAATCCCAGATTATTAGTATTAGTATTTCCATAATCTTATATATATAGGGGCAGGAACAAATGAGAACAGGGTTCTCCTGTAAAAAGTAAGGACTAATCCGTCCACGAGGGTTTTAGTAAAAAAAAAAAACACGGGATTAATTTATAATTATTAAAAACTTTTAAGAGTGGGGCTCATTTTATAATTATTGCAAACTTGAAAGTTTAATAATGATAAGATCCTAGCCTTTGATTTCTCAAGATGGAGGGTGTGAATGTGTCCACACTTTTTACAGGGAAGGTGTTCTCACCTGAACCCTCCCCTATATATATATATATATATATATATATATATATATATATATATATATATATTGACTTGGAAGGGCAAGAGAGATTATTTCTGAATGCTAACCTGCCAATTTTTTGTCAATAAAGAAGACCACCAAATTAACAGTGTACCTACAAGAAAATTTTACGTGATTCAGATAAACATATAACGATTCAGTTATAGTACGCCATCTCAAAAGTTCACATGAGAGCTCAGTCAATAACCCCTCACCATGCCACCACAATGTCTACAGTGTAATGTTTGTGAGATGCAACAATCAAGAAGCTTTGAACAATAACAGCTAACCATGCACAATGCTTTACAAACCTGCACATCCGACAAAGCAATAATGAATTATTATAATTTAAGGCATGCAGGGAAAATATTTTTTTTTGGTTAGACCACGAGGCGTCCTGAGTAGGCCCGAACTGTAGCAGGCACCTTAAGCTCGTACCATACTCACTAATCCCAGTTCATAACAGGTCGGTCCAATTAAGGGGCAAAGTGTTGGGCATATTGGTTTTTCCATACGATGCAGGGAAAAAAGTTAAGTTACAAACTTATAACTCTATGCCAAAGTTTTCTCCCAAAGGAAAAAACAGAGTTCATCTTAATACAGCAATAAGTTCAATCATCATACTTTCTCGGTATGTCTTACAAACTTGAACCGACTATTCATCACAGCATTAGAATTTTACCTTTGTGTACCGTATTTATGATATGTCCGGACAAAGACAAGAGAGAATATCATATGAGATGAAAATATTAGATCCCCACAGCCATAAAGCACTCCCCGAGGAACTGCAATGGCAAAAATTCATAAAAATCAGCTTTGAAAAATATGAAATCAAAAATCAAAGGAAAAAGAAATCAGACATAACCAAATCACCTACAATTAATTACAAGAACTTCTATAATATTATCAGGACGAGGGAGTCTGGCAAGTTTTGAGCCCTGCCGTATTGCAGAAAAATTAGTATAAGAGATGCACTCACAGATATGAAGAGTGTAAACAACATTTTTATTTGGAAACCTCCAAATATCTCTAAGAACAGAATTTGTCCTTTACAGTTTGAGTACTTACCTCACGACAGTGATAATTTGGACCAGGAAGCTGCGTAGAATAGAAAGTAATGATCCGAAGGATTTGGCAAGCCTGCTCAAAGATTAGGAAAAATAAAACGTTTTACACCCACAATCGTAAATTCTTTTCCATCCTTAAATATTTTCCGACATTTTAGTCGAGTGAACAACTGTTTGCGGATTTTAAAACAGTTGAACCCAGAGCCCAAGTCATAACAATCATGTGGTGTATTATAAAGACTCTATGAATGGGTGAGCACTTGACTGCAAGAACCTTCTTTATAGTGGATAGATTAACATGCAAATATACAGAAAGAAAATACTTACAACTAAGAAAGCCAGGACCCTGCACCATATTAGAACCGTGTAAATCTTTTTGTTCTTGCAAATGAAAGGATGGAAAGTCCACTGCACCACAAAACAAACCACGTTTCTAACGACGAAACATTAAACTCGGACTTAATGCATGAAAACAAAGTACTGAGGATCTAGAACAAAACAGAAATGATAAACAGAAGTAGCTAATTACATAATCGAAATAGACATTTGAGGACGACTTACCAAGACAAAAGACAGAAAGATGAAGGAAAATACTGTCTCACTGATGTAAGCTTTGTCTGGACCAAGTTCCTGCAGTTATTTTAGGGGAAAAAATGGCATAAACATGCATCTTCCCTCAAAGTAGAGGCAATGTGAGAATTGAGATGTGAAATAAGTAGAACTAACCGGTAAAATAAAGAACCCAACATCTTGAAGTGTGGGTCCTGGGCGATGTAAGTAATGAACCCCTCGAGCAGCCAATCCATGGATGTACTAAATACAGGAAATATAATAGATGTCACGTCTTAGCCATCTAAACCACAACAAGAACAGGAAGAAATTGCAAAGAATTGAAGCATCAAAAGGAAAGTAATAACTGCCTGTAAAAGTTCAAGTACCACTACTTCAAATTGCTATGACAATTAATTCAAGAAACTTTCAATCGTAGACAACAACCTATAGCAAAAAATAGGCACAAAAGGCATAATGATCTTCTATAATCAATGTCTCGGTGTGGAACTTGAGCTTACCGGTCAAGATATGAGGTGTTTTTTGGATGCAAAAAAGTTACGGAGTAGATGCTAACAGAAAGGCATAGCTTATTGATAAAGCTGGGTATTCTCATCTGATCAAGAGAGCAAAACTTATACCATTTTACTAGTTTGAACGAGCTATATACAGTCAATTTCACAAACCCAACCTGCACCAAAGTTCAAGCACAATATTTACTGGTGAATTACTGCCCTTTAAATTTAGCCCAACCAATACCATCTAGCATCATAAATACATTGACAGAGCCTACATACATGCTTTACTAACTTCTTCAACAAAATTAATACACCCCAGTTAACAAAAAAAAAAAAAAAACTACTATTTGGTAGGAAATAAAGCAACATTAGAAACCTGAAAAACTAGACCGCAAAGAATATACTTCCAGTTCTCAGCAAGAAGGCTGATCTCCGTTGCAGTCTCTGAACAAACTCTCTTCCATAGCTTCTCTCCCGGACAACAAAAGCAGCCCGATCAAGAAAAGATGGGTCTTTTATGAGAAACAAATGAATAAAACACCAAAATATAGATAAAAGGTAAGAAGTTTGTATTTGAAGGCAAACCTTGGAGGCCTCACGACCAATGTAAAGTGACATCTTCTTCGTATGTGTCAATCACTACCACCACTTCCATATTAGATCACAAACATGGTCAATATCGCTCATCCTAAACCCCTTTCTTCCCCAGAAAAAAAAAAAAAAAAAAAAAAAAAAAAAAAAAACCGATTCAATTCCGAAACCCCAACTTCAAACCAATAGTCCCAGAACAAATTCCTTAAATCGGCTTCTGATTCTAAGACAGAATCCTAGGATTCCACTAAGAGTATTTTATGATCGCAATTGACAAATAAAATAAAATGTATGATCGAATATCCTAAATGGAAAATGAAAAAAAAAAAAAAAAATCGAATATCTGCAAGAATTCAAAATTCTGAAATGGGTAATTCAAGTTGAAAGTTGGGAACTTTATCGCAGAGTCGCAGATGGATAGACTGATCGGTGATTCCTTTTTTTATTCTCTCTCTCTCTCTCTCTAGATTTTGTGTTACAGAGAAGAGGGAGGGAACTTTACTCTCGCCTTTTTGGCCCTCTCTCGCAGGTAAGTGTTGTGTACTTCTTCTTCTGTCTATTGTCTGCTAACACGCGAGTTGAACAAGGAGAACAGTTGGGAAAGAGAGGGGAGACAGCCCGTTTGAATTACAGTGAAAAAACAAGAAAAAGAAGAAAATCATGCCCTTCTCTTGACTCTTCAACAATAAAATGGGAATTCATGAGACTAATTAAATGGAAAAATTGGACTTTTGCTCTCCAAAATATAGGATAACAGAATATTTGGTACATATGTTATAAGCCTAATTTTAATTTTTTTTTAAAGTTATCATAAGTAATACTTGGCAAATATTTGGTACATAAGCCTAATTTTAATTTTTTGAGTTATCATAAGTAATACTTGGCAAATATTTGGTGCATAAGCCTAATTTTAATATTTTGAGTTATCATAAGTAATACTTGGCATATTATTTGGATCACAGTTCAAAATGACGTCATTTTGATGTTAAAAACATTTCTTATTCTGCACGCGTGTTAGATTAATGAACATTCTGGGATAAGGTAATATATTTTAGGAGTTAAAATAATATACTTTATGTGTTATGTGTAATGTGTTAGAATAATTTATTTTATATGTGTTAGAATAATGAGATTTCTGAAATAAGATAATATATTTTATGAGTTAGAATAATGTACTTTATAGGTTAGAATAATGTATTTTATGAGTTAAAATAATTTAATTTACTTTGTGTTAGAATAATGAAATTTATAGGAATAAGATAATGTTTTTATGAATTAGAATAATATATTTTATGTGTTAAAATAATATATTTTATGAATTAGAATAATGTACTTTATGTATTTTTAGATTATGATTCACATAACTGTATGAAATAATGATTGGTAAATGGTAATACTTTCAACGTCCCTACTAATGAGTTTATCAAAATATACTATTATGTTTTTTAAAAATATCAGTTAATCATGATCATGAATAAAATATTATGTTAAATTTCTCTTTTTCTCCCACAAATTGTACTTCGAAACACAGACCATTAATTATATTAAAGTGATTCAAAACCAAAGAAATTAATGTAATAAATGTTAGTAGTCTGCATTTCTAGTCATTATGTGGGCTCTATTTGGTAACCTTAGCTGAAAAGTTATAAGCTCGAAGCTGAAAACTGAAGAGCTGTTAAGCTAACTATTATGATTGAAAGTGTTTGGTAAAATTAATTTTTTTGATAAGCTGATAAATGTAAAAAGACTAAAAAGGGCATCTTTATAAAATTTAAATTAGTTTGTTTACATATTAAAATTTAACATTTTATTTTTAAAAAAAGTTAACATTTTGAAATAAAATTATTAGCATAATCATGATCTAGCATCTCATAATGAAGTAGCAATATTGTTGCAAATCTCATAATAATAATAATAATAATAATAATAATAATAATAATAATAATAATAATAATAATAATAATAATAATAATAATAATAATAATAATAATAATTGCGGTGAAAGTTGCGGATAAAGGAGAAGAGAAAAAGGTTTTAATTGGGAAGGTTAATTATGTCATTTCTTTAAAATAATAAGGATAAAGATGGAAAAAAAAAAGTTAGGAAAATAGGAGCTTATTTTGAAACGCTACTTAAGGTAGCGTTCCAAAATAAACTCTTATTTTAAGCTAGGAGCTTATTTTGGGAACATTACCAAACAGAGCTTATAGCTTAATAGTAGCTTAAAATAAACTATAAGCTCCTAAATAAGTTTTGCCAAACAGAGCTGTCATATTATAAATCTTATACCAGATTGAGAATCTGCCACCCTAGCTAAGAGTATGGGCAAGCACATTTGTTGATCAATAAAACAGAAGGATGCTGAAACAAAGTGTCTAGCCAATTTGCGACAGTCCTCAATAACACAGCCATCATAAGAGAGATCCCGAGAGGGAACCTTAAGAGATTGATAGACATTAAAGCAATCAGACTCAATCGTGACTCGTTGCCAACCATCCTCCTTAAGTCAATATAGAGCTTCCCTAACCGCCAAATGAAGATAATCTAAATAGCATATTGGAAAAATAGCATAAAATGGCATGGAAAGTGGCTATATTATGGTACAAATATTAGTGGGGTTCACTTTTGATTTGGGTCGAGTCAAAGTGGATTCGGGTTCTTTGTAGTGAGACGAAGAGATTGATATATTGTACGCTCAAAACAAATAATGGGTGAATGAGAAGTTGATTCTCAAAATAAACTCATTTGAGTTGAAAAATGAAGGTGGACACTAGTCCCATGAATACTCTAGTGTCAGAGAGGAGAACTGCCCCAAAAAAACCTTCACCACGGTCAACAAAAACGGAAACGCAACATCAACTCTACAAAGCATCGAAGCATCGGTCAGCAAAAATGGAAACATCAACTCTACAAAGCAACGAACCATCCACCGTAACAGCATTCTGTTGACTCTAGTTAGGGGTGGAGATAAAAGAGGTATGAGGGGGCTGATGAATAGTACCCACAATAGAGGTTGAAGATTGGCTAATGACTGCCAATCACCAAGGAGACGTGTTATCGAGGTATGAACATTTGCCACCAGGTAGCTTTTATTGTTTTAGATAACGTCGTTCCTTGCCCTCTATACAGACCACAGAAGAGCTACAACTTTCCTCTTAGAAGCTTCATTGGAAGCTAAACATATGTCAGAAAGCTAATAAAGAAAATCCTTCCTGTGCGTAGAAGACAAAAGGCCGACGAACTGACTCGACCAGGCAGGAGTGGTTTGACTGCATTCCAAAAATAAATGATCCATGGATTCTAAATCTGTATTACATAATGGATAGATAGAATCAAGATCCACCCTTCTAGCAGCTAAGGCAGCACGAACTGCCAGTATCTCACGTGTGCAACGCTAGATGAAATTAAGATCATCCACATTAGTTTGGGAGAATTGGGGGATAATGTAAGAGTGATTAGGAGAGAGAATGTGGAAAGGGGAGAAAAAAAAAAACAAAAAAACCAAAATCAAAAAATCAAAAACGAAAAAAAAAAATAAAAAAACAAAAGAGTCAGGCGCGCCTGACTCGCCCTCGGGCGCATGCTTTGCACGCGCCCATGTGGGCTGGCTGCTGTGCGCGAAACGCGCACAGCAGCCCATGCTTTGTTTTTTATCTTTTTCTTCTTTTTCTTCTTTTCTCTGCCATTATTTCGAAATTTGCAGATGAATTCTCCCCTACATTAGCTATAAACTTGAAGTGGGAGAATTAATGCTGCAATCTCCCCATATTATCTACTGATGTAGATGCTCTAAGAAACTTGGACGGAATCTTCTGACGCCAAAGTTGAGACTAGGCAGAAAAGGGCGACACCCCGACATGGGTACTGGTTGACAACATCTTGTAGCCATTCCTCACTAAATACAGGCCGCGGATATCCCCCTCTAGTGCCATTGATTGTCATAATCAGGGGCAATGGGGATCTTTTGTTGGGCATCGATCGGGTTGGCCGAGACAGATTGCTTTAAATTGGAGTGTAAAACTTAAATTTCCGGTTTTACCTTTCATTTTAACACTAATTTAACGGCAAAGCTAACGGAAGACCATTTTGACTTAAAATTCAAAAGTTAGAGGACCACTTTGGGAAAATTAAAAGTCAATAGACCAATTTGAGAAAAGATCATAGTCGGAGGACCATTTTGAGATTTAACTATTTTTTTAATTATTAAAGGTTTTTTGGCAGCTAGTGCAACACATGAATGCATACAAATACGTACTCATTTCCTCACTAGGTTTTTCCTATTGAGTTTTTCTAGTGAGGTTTTAACGTGGCATGAGTATGATATAATAATGTCAAAAAGGGAAAAGTTGCATGTAAATACTTAAATATACTAACCCCAAATCCTGAAGATTATACAATGAAGGTTTATGATTGGTTATACTGAAGATTATGCACTGAAGATACAATTCCTAATAGAATATATTGTTTCCTACGTTCCTATTCGTACTATAATTCTCCATTAAATTCCTATTCGTAATACAATACAACAATATTAAAATTCCTATTCATATTCAACAATATTATTCCGCCACTGCTCCAATCGATCAATACTATTATTAAAAATAAAAGCCTCCTTTTTAACTTCCCGCCCAAGCACTTAATAATAATAATGTTAGCAGTAAAAAAATAAAAATAGAAAAGAATTCATAATTTGAAAAGGCATAATTGTCTAAAATTATTTCTACGTGTTATTTTACTATTAATCTAACTAGTAATTCACCCGCGCGATGCACGAAAAAAATTATGTTATTATAAATATAAATAAAAAATAGAAAAACTAAAATATTTTAAATTATTTAATATAATAATATTTTTGAGCTTCCATTGATCAAGTATTTATTATTTTTATAGAATACAAAATTACAATTAAAATTAAAATTAATATTAAAATTATAATTTTGTATGATTAATATAATCTCTAATTATGTGCATATTTAAATAAACTCATAGAGAGAATTTACATAATTACATTGATTTATTCTTAATTGTATTTCATCTATATTATAATTTTCACAATACAAATAATAACTAAGATAATTACATTTGGAAAGCAAATTTTAAATTTTGTATGTGTAAATTTAAACTCTAATTGAACACATTTTTTATATGATTATATAATATATAGCTATTTTATTTTTTAAAAGTATATTTTTTATATGATTATATAATATATAGCTATTTGATTTTTTAAACGTTGTGCTTTTTTTTTTTTTTTTATAATAATAAAGGATGTTGTGACATTAATTTGTAACATTAATTATTTTCCAAACCATATAGCTTTATTATAT